ATATAAGACACTGTCTTATTTTCGGGGAAACAGGGTAGCAGGGACCTGCAGGGAGAGCTGCTGTTTTTGCTGCTGCCTCTTCCCAGGGAGAGCTGCAGGGAGGGGCTGCTGAAGATAAGGGGGGATTTGCCTGAGGGGGCATGACTCAAGCTGTTGTGGGGGGGCGAATTTTTAAATTGTGCGTCGTCTCCAACCCCCCCCCCCCCGACCCCCCAAGTAGGCCCCAGTCATCTCTAGCAGAAGCCCTTGATCCCACCACCAGGCCACAGGGCAGAAGCCCAGAGCTTTCCCTCCCCCTTCGTTCCCCCAGTCTGGGAGGTGGAGAATGGGGGGGGGGGCGCGCGGGGAGTCCGCGAGCTGCACTTTAACTGTAAAGGAGCCACGTATGGCTTGTGAGCCGCAGTTTGGCCACCCCTGCTGTATAGTTCAGTATTATTGGTTCCTTTTTGGCTTGCAGTTGTCTGCACAGTAATAGTTTCTGATGATTCTTCATTAGAGGCCAAAATCTTAATATCTAGTTCATAAATCTCGCTTGGGCTCTTCTTGGAACAGAGCTTTTAGCCTAGTCAGTATTTTTCTAGGCATGGGAAATGTATATTACTTTGATTAGACCTGGCCACTGTTGATAGTATTTTGACATGTTTAGAAGGAATTAGTTTAATTAAAATACTTTTGCAGGGAGTTTAAATATCAGCTTGCTAGGCAGAAATCCGAAAGAATCCAGAATTGGGACCTCCCTTCTTTTTTGAGCCAAGTGACTGATGGTTCTGCAGTAGGTAAATGATTCTCTGGGCCTTGAACCCAAGATTGATGATGTACATTTTAGATGTGTAATATGTAATCTGAAGGGAACTATGAATTGCACTGAACCGGCCACTGTTTCATTAGCGTGAATGTATGTGCTGATGTCCTACAGACATCCTGGTATCTCTCTTATAAGGCATTGCAACTCTTCAGTTTTAGAAAGATTCCTAGCAGGAAAAGAACAACTCAGTTTAGTGACTAAACTGGAGAAAGAACAGGAGTACTTGTGACTCATGACCTCTTTTTTTCTATAAGTAGATTCTAGAGTAGAAGATGCATTTCCTGTGTGTGTGTCAGTGTAGAACAATGCAGTGCTCTGAATTTTAGAGTAATTCTTGTAAAATACGGTGTGTTTTTACTAATATTGAAGGAAAATTGATTAAGCAATTAACTTGAAACATAGCAGCTGCTTAATTGCTTCACGTTTGTTTTTAAATGGAGCCAATTTTAATACTCATCATACCTGTGGCTCTCCTAGTCCCGTGGGAACAGTCCTACTGCTAGGAAAAAGCAATATTTTTTACCTTCATTGGACAGCCAAACTAATGGCAAGTAAGGTAATTGAAAGGACTAATCCAGGTTGGTCTTTGCCTGAAAACAAACAGATTTGTTCTTTGGAGTACAGAATATATTTTTAAAGCAAGTCCATTACTGTAATGGGTTACTCCCTAAAAGCAATTTGTTTCTATGAAATTAGTGCCTACTTTCAGTTACTGTGTGTCTCTCTCTCCCTTCCCCATTCATTCTCTCCTTAGTTGTGTATATATTAAACCTATATTAAGGTTCCAACCAACAAGACAAAATGACAATTGATGTTTTAACTGTTCTATTACAGAATTTCACAAACTTATTTGGACAGCCACTGGTGTGCTTGCTTTCTCCAACAGCGTATCCAAAAGCACTACAAGGTACAAAGGAGTTGCCCTTCCTCACAGCTTCTCTTGTATTACTTTTAAAAACTATGTAAGACAATATAAAGTAACATTTATCAGCTTCCAAAATGATCACCTTCTGATGCTTTCTCTTCACTTGATGATGACCCCAGTGGGGGGGTGAGCAGCACTTGAAGCGGCATAGCATGCCAAAAGTTTACTGACAGTTCATGACAAATGACTTTAACATGGCATGATTGAACAGGAATGTGTCCAAGCAGCTTCACCAAGTGCCAGAGAGGAAACTCGGTTTGCAGATGCAGAGACCCAGAAAGTTGCCATCACAGTGCTGGGGTCATAATTCACTTTTTCTATTAGCATTTGAGAAGCTTCACTACAAATGGAATGTCACTAAGATAATGTTGCCCACTCTATTCCAGGAGCCGTTCTAAAGCCCAGTTGTAGAATCTGCATTCATATCTAGTCTGCAGAATCTCTCTGGCACCAGTGTAGATTTTGGAGGGTTTCTTAAGGAAAACAATTAGTGCATCTCATGGAAAAATGGGTTTCCAGAATGAGCAAGTCAGAGACCAGAATACTTCTGCCAGTTTCTAGGTTAAAGATGACCATGGTCAGATTCCCATCTGCCTTTTCCCATTAGAACAGAGTTGACCGTGTGGTCTGCACTATGCTCACGAGTTCCACTTGTCAGAGCTTAACGGAAACAACTGCAGCCATTACTTTAGGTAGCAAAATAAATATTTGCTAAATAAGAATATATACGTATTAACTTTCCAATACCTGTAACTGTGACTGGTTCTGGTGTGTGTCTGTGAGGGTTGCCAATTTTACTGCTACTTCCCAGCGTGAAGTCCAGTCTGCTGACATAGTTTGAGACACAGGAAGTGGTGCTCAGCAAATGAATGACTGAGAGAAGCTGGAGACTTCACAATTGCTTTAAGGTAAGTTCTATTATTTGCTAGAAACTTTTGAATAGAAAATATTAAAAGTTTTTTGTTCAAGTGAAAACTGTTAACAAAGAGGAATTCTGATTAAATAATAGAACTTACCTTTTAAAACAATGAATGTCTCCAGTGGGGTTCCTGTTTAGTGTTAGTAACGCACCAGTAAATATCTGTTGTAACTCTGGTAAGACACTGACCAGTGACCAAAAGGGGGTTCCCACAGTAAAAGACTTCTCTAGCTTCTCTCTTCTTTCTTGTTTTAAGCTGTTAAATAGAGCCAGCAGCACTCCCAAGGAAAGGAGTAGGTTTATGGAGAGTAACTGGAAAAAACAAAGGGGCATTATGTCTGTTTTGGGTGGGGGGCCATATATATCCAAGTGTTGTGTTGCATTGCTTGCCTACTTCTTGCCAGAGCAAAGACGTTTCTCTGGGTTTTTGGTAATGCTGATAAACTGTAAAAGAAAGAAATGTTATATGGTGGGTCAAGTTATGATCTTATACAGTATCTTGCATTGCAAGATTGACACTAATTGTATTAAAACCATGCACCGAACTAAGCCTCCCACAAGTATGTGGGGTCTCCTGTGCTCCTATCATGCACGTATCTCTCATGAACCTTGACTGGAATTAGTGAGTGCATCACCAGGAGAACTGGCTCCCATCGTAAAGGCTGGGAAGATCTTTCCATAAACACTGCACGTTACTGCCTCAATTGGAGAGGAATGGAGGGGTGCAGGGCTCTACTCTGTGGCAGGAACAGCTCTCCTGTTTCACACACCGAATGCATCATGTTGTTGTTTATTATTGGCTTTTAGATCAGTCTCAGCGGGGTAGCCTCTTCACCCTCTTTCTGAACAATCCTTTAATGGCATTCCTATTTGTCTCTGGATTATCAAGCATGCGCAGAGGATTGTGGGAGAAGTGTCAAGATTACCTTAGAAAAATCAACCGGGATATCGCCCAGCTGCTGACCCATTCTCGCTCCATAGGTATGTCCTTAAAGACCTACACACACTCAACAGAAAACTTAGTGGCACAACTTGAGTTGGATTTCTTATTTGTTTCTCATTGGTCAGTCTTGCCAAAGAATAATACAGTTTGGGGGGGAAATGCACAGCTTTTCTATGTGGTGTTTTCCCAAAGGTCTCTTGCTTCAAAAATGCCTTCTGAATTCAGTTTTCTTTAAGTGTCACCTTCTTCCTCTGCAGATCAGGCCTTTCTTCAGTTTTTTGGGGATGAATTTCTTCGCTTACTTCTAACAAGATTCGTCTTCTGCTCAGCCACCATGAGGATGCACAAAATTTTCCGGGTATGCAGGGAACTTTCCCTTTGTGCGAAAGAGTCGCCAGACAAATTCTGTTTTCATGCAGAATTGCTTTGGCTGGCGGTTAAAGGGCTCTTCTAGCTAACTTCTGTGGCTCTTCTGCTCATGGGCTTCACTAGTACTGCTCATAAGGTCTCCTCCCATGCTGAAATGAGTATTCAGTAATGTGTGTGTGCAGTACATAGCGGATCATGTTAGCTACTCTTACAGGTGAAAAGGCCTTTGTAGTACAAATGCTCATAACTAGTTTTAACAATATAGTGCATCTGTCTTCTGATTCCATGTAGAGCATGAAACAATTTATCTGAGTTTGGACACATTCTAGTATTGAGCCTACCCATAGTACATATTCATTTATATAGCACTGTGTTTGTACACAGCTGTGTATACTAAGAGTGCTATGTCCAAAAATATAAAAATATAGTAAGAGGCCATCTTGGCACACAGCCTGGAAAGTTTATAAACAGGAGTGGTGGGTGGGCTTTCAAATTGGAATGCATCACAGAATTCATGATTTCCAAAGTGGGGTGGGTGAATGTTTTTGAGGCACGTGAGAGCACCACACTTCAGGAAAGATGTAGACAAACTGGAGAGGGTCCAGAGGAGAGCAACAAAAATAACAGGCTTGGAAAATCTGACACATAAGGACAGGTTTAAAAAAAAAAAACTAGGGCATGTATAGTTTTGAGAAAAGACTGAGGGAGGAAGCTGATACATCTTCAGATATGTTAAGGGCTGTTATAAAGAGGATGGTGAATGGTGGTTGTTCTCCATGTGCACTGAAAAAGGACAAGAAGTAATGGGAGATTTAGGTTCGATATTAGGAAAAACTTCCTAATTCTAAGGGTAGCTAAGCTCTGGAATAGGCTTCTAGGGGAGGCTGTGGAATCCCTATGTTGGAGGTTTTTAAGACCAGGCTGGACAAACCCCTGTCAGGGGTGGTCTAGGTTTATTGCGTTCTGTCTCACTGCAGGAAGCTGGATTTGATGAGCTCTTGCAGTCCCTTTCAGCCCTACTCTTCTGTGATTCTGTGACCTTAAAGACTGCAGATAATTACAGTGGGCAGAAAGCTGGTTCCTCTGTTGCCAGGAATGAAGTCTGCCTCTAGGATTACGCTATTATACATGTCCGTTGTGGATGTTGGTACACAGATCTAACTTACCTGCTTGAGCATTGCAGGAAAATATTAACAGTGTATTCAGCACATGTGTAAAATCTCCTTCTTTTCTCCTGTTCCATTTTTATCATGTGTTCACTTACACATCTGGCCATCTTGGGCTAATGAGGCTTTGCTACTGCCACAGTCACCTGTAGGCACTAAACTGCCATAATTTGAAAACTAGGCCACTGCCTTTGTGTCAAGGGAGATGGCTGTGAAGATCAGCTTCATAATTTCTGCGAAGATCTGGCCACTTTTGTGGCCTGTCAAACAGATCAGCGTGCGTTTTTTTTTTTTAATTGAATTGGCTTTTTATACTTTTTGTTCTGTACTATTAGATTATAAAAATAATTGTACTCTTTTTCTCTTCATCTAGCAGGAAACTCGAAATTACCCTGAAACTTATCCCCAACTGCCAAGAGATGAAACCGTGGAGAACCCTCATCTCCAAAAACACATTCTGGAGCTGGCTTCCATCCTGGATGTTAGAAATGTGTTCCTGGAAAACACCATTGATGACTATTAAAAGAAATACTTTTACTGCAATAGGGTTTCCCTAGCCACAGACTTTGAATGGTGCAGTTTTCTAATGTGAAAATCCACAAAAGGAGTTACTTGATTTTATTTTAAAATTTAGGATTTTTTTTTTTTTTAAATAGCTGTTAGCCCAGCTGCCCCATTCTGTATGGGGTCAATTTTATAAACAAATCTTTTCACATCTTTTAAATGTTAAACTAAGGAATCCCTGGAGTTTTGTTTTTTGTTTTTGTGGTTGAAAGCAACCACATCTGAATCCTAAGCATAAAAGTAGTATTGGTCAATTTTAGCCCGCTTTATGGAAATCCTTTATTTTTATACAGTTTTAAAAAATTGGAAGCAAAAACCCAATAGAATACCAATACTTTATCTCCAAAGAGTTTGGATTTGAAATGGTAAAGCTGGAAACACATAATGCAAACCGGCAAGAGCAATAAAAGAAACAGCCCTTCATAACAAATATATATATTTTTTTCAACCTTAGGTGAGTAATTAGACAAACTTGTGCTAGAACAAATGGCAGTTGGATCAGTGGGTTTGGAGTGATGCTACAGATGGATCTCCTAACATCTAGTGTTCCATGTAAATTAGTAATTTAAATCTTCTACTGAGCAGCACTGCTGACCAAGAACACAAGTCCCCTCCTGCCTGCTTGGGTGTAGATGGCAAGCTGGTGGCATATATTACAAAATTAATAACGCTGGCCCCATTTCCTCAGTATAGTACAGTCTGCCCACCTCCATATCTTGGGTCAGAGCCACCACCCTTCTGCCTGAGGATGCTGGTCCATAATTCCTCTTGAGTTAGTTAATAGAGCTGCTTAATCACCGCAGGGGGTGGAGGGTGTCTCCCTTCTTACCTTGTTGAGTGAATGAAGTGAGTGGCTTCCACAATATTCTCAGCCCTTGGTGAGTCTGTCCAGAAATCAAACCAGTCTCCCGTAGTAGTACTGAGTTCCAGCCCTTCCCAACAGAGAAACACCTGGCAGGACACCTCTTGGTGCTGCTGCTGTTGCCTGCTTTAACAATGGGATAATCTTTCATGGGATCCTTATGACCCTAGAACTGCTTTTTTCTTATGTTATAATGATTGATAAGTGCTGCCACAGAACACCACAGCCCTTCATGCGCATGGTGAGGGCCCATTGCTCCACCCCACTCCCTACCTGTCTGCTCTGAGTCCTGCTCTGACAGCATTTTTCAAATGAGCCAAAGGCAGGCTGAGCAGAGGGAAGGTGTGCGAGGCACATAGTCACCAACAAACCCCAAAACACAGTTAGTGGGGATTGGTTCATAGGTATATCAGCTTCTGCTGTGCCCCTTTAATTGCACAATAATTCCACCCAGACCTAGACAACATCCAGCAGGGCTCTATAAAGTCTGCATCAAGGATCTGTACGAAAGCTACGGTAGAGAAGGTGCTTGCTGGAGAAGTAGGAGGGTAAAGCTACCAAGGCAATGCCCTCCTAGCTTCAGAACAAGCTCCAGGAGCTCTTGCACCCCTTGACAGAAAGGAGGCATGGAGGGGGGGAGGGGGGAAGCACTGGAACAGTAGAAGGATTTTGGCTTCTACAAAGCAAATGTTCTAAAGACCTAAGCTAATAGCCTGTAGACACTCAGCTTTGAGACTGGCTCCACTTCAGTTACTGGCAGTAAAAAAGCCAGCTTGTCCCAAAGCCAAGACTGAAGCACAACAAATTTTTGTAGGCTCCAGTGTTTGGTTTTTAAATATATGTAAAATGAATAATGGGCTTTTAACTGAAAATACTCATTCTACCAAGAAGGCGTTCACTTTAAATCCAGTGAAAGGCAAGTCTATGGAGATATGGATGGTAATTTTTGTATCTGAAATTGCACAACAGATTGTCAAATGGCCTGAAATGACAGGTCTAGAAATAGTGGTAGCAAAGCAAACTGTGGTCATCTTGTTTGTGTGAATATAAGGTGTATGGTGCTGGAAAGGCTGTCTTTTGGCTTTTTGTTCTGCATGGCTGTATTGCTGTCTGAAGTGAAGGCCAGTGAGGTGCTCCCTGTACTGTAATGCTGAAACCTCCAATAGAGCAAGGACACCATGCTGGACTCTGTTGTGTCCTTAGAGAACGTAGTGCATGGTACCAATGTGGAATATTTCAAGCTGTTCCATGAAAGCTGTTTTGTTCTGCGTTCATTGCCCCAATGCTGGAAAATGGGGAGGAGTTTGAGTAGCCCTTTAATTTTGAGGTCTAGTCCAATGTTTCAATTTTTAAAATGAGTTTGGTAGCTTACTTACCTTGGTGCCTACTTCAGTGGGCCTTTTCAGAATCTCACAGTGATGTGACCATCTTCTTAAGACAGACTGGACTAGCCAGGGCCTGAGGGTGCTCCAGGTCAGGACTGATGCCCATCACCACTGCGGTAGGAGAATCCAGTGCAGAACAGCGTGGGTGTTAGAGTAGGTGGCATGAGTGGCGCTTCCAAAGCACTCGCTAGCACTGTGCTGGGCTGTAGCCAAGTCCTTCACTCCCATGGGCACTAAAAATCAATGGAACATTATGAGAAGAATTATTTCTTTGAGCAGTTGGGGATGCAGTTCTCGTCTGTGGAGCTGTATAGCTTTGATCAACCTTCTTTAGCTGAGATTGAATTTATTTTAAAATATGTATATACTCGGTGTTTGTGTGTTCATGTACAGTACACACCCACCTACCTGTTGGGTGTGCTTGTAAATATGTATAGCTATTTGTATATAGGAAGGTCTTGAGATAAGATATGTATATATAAAAATTATAGATACACACGGACACCAGTTGGATTGCATTCCATGAGGGTGTTTTAGAAGCATTATTCAAGATGCTGTAGCTGTTAAGTTTGTGGTTGCATTACCATTGTAATCCTCTATTTTCAGGGGCTTATGTTCGATAAATGAAATAATTTGGGGCTAAAACTATGTGCAGCAGGCCTCATCCAGTGAGTGTTTGCATTAAAGTTTAGGTTTTTTCTTTTGTCATCACTTTCATGGAGCATCCTTTGTATGCAGACACATTGGGGAAGCCATGTAGGAATATGGAAATCTCTGTAGTGGGTATGGTGTAATTTACCTCCATTGGTGGCATCCCTCTTGCCTTGTACTCCTCTGCTATCTGGGCTTTAGAACATCTAGCCAAGGTTACTATTGTTGCCTTTTTTCCCTTGGTGTCTCAGATTAACAGCAACAAACAGGGCTGCGGAGCTTCTTATGAATTCAGTAATTTCTAACCCCTCTCCAAGTATCAAAAGGTGCCACCACTTTGCTGCTTGTGCATTAGACTCTGACAAAAATGAAGGTGCATTAACACCTGTGAAGAATGGAGTTGGACTCTGGAAAAGTCTCAAACAGTTTTTGTCCTGATGGATTTCAAATAATAATCTTCAGCAAATAGCGCTGAAGTAATGGCTACTAGGAAACCCTTTCAGGGAGAGAAAATGAGGACATTTCTCTCTTAAGATTCAAAGGGAGCATATAGGAATGGGAATTCAGGTTTCAGCAGGGGCACTTATTAGTCTTTGGAAATCTTAAAATTTTAGCAGTTCTGTAAAAACTGACCCTTTGAGGATGGGAGGAGACACTAATACCTGTGTGTGAATCTATGGCTGCTCTTTGTACTGTGAGGGAGCATACATAGAAGCCCAAATTCCATACAATGTTGTAGATATTGGAGAGTGGAGAAGGCTTCATGCTGATTGATCGGGCTTGATTCCTTTATCTTTTCATTAGCATCAGAACCATATCCAGACTTGTACATAAACCTTTGAACCAAACTCCTTCCTGGAAGTTAAAAACTTGTGACTCTCTGAATAGCCCTTCTGTCTTAACACTTTTCTTAAACAGGCTTTGTCTACACTAGACTTTCTCACCATTACAGCTCAGTAATGGTAGCAGTGGTATACTAGAAGCCTTAATATAGAGCTGGCAGGACTAGGCAACATACACCTCTACCCCTATATAACGCTGTCCTTGGGAGCCAAAAAATCTTACCGCATTATAGGTGAAACCACGTTGTATTCAACTTGCTTTGAATGCAAGAGTGCGCAGCCCCCCCCAATCCCCCCGGAGCGCTGCTTTGCTGCGTTATATCCGAATTTGTTTATAGCGGGTCGCGTTACCTCAGGGTAGAGGTGTAGCAGTTAATACATTACAATTGATCCATACTAGGGCTCTCACCAATGCTACAACTGGTAGAGCTGCACCAATAAGAACCATGGTAATCTTATGGGAAAAGTCTAGTCCAGATCATGCCATCAAACGCTGTGTAATTGGACTGTGGTACCGTCTGGGTCTGTGTTTGAGGATGCTGGTGTGGAAGATTGGAGAATCGCTATAATGGGGGCCATGCAAGTAAGTCTATTGCCATTGCTCTTCAGACCCTTCATCGTAAAAAGACCCTTTCTTGTTATTTTGTAACTTTTTTTCCCCCCCCTTCTCCACCCTGGATGAAGAGAGCTGAGGATTTCTGAGTTATTGAGTGGTCTTTCAGAAGATCAAAGGAATGAATTTCCATTCCTTCTCAGTTTTTCTGCCAACCAGCTGTTGTCCTGAAGGTGCATTGCTCATAGATCCCAGTTTCACCTCCTTCTTTTGAGACTTGAGCCACAGACTTCAAATACTGCTGACTTGTTCAGTTTAGATACTGGAGCAGTTTTCAGATCTTATTCAGAGGTCATTCCTCTGCACGTATTCCTGCAGGGCTAACAAAGCCTGCCATATGAGCTGAAGCTGCAGAAACTCTGTTTTGAATTTTCTATTCAGACTGTTCCCTAATAATTAGCTTACAAGAAGGAACCCCCTGGACTCTGTTACTACCACTTCTCAGTAGCAGTGCTGAGCTGACTTGCTGGAGCATGGCATTGCCTAGCAGTACTTTACTTTTAAAAAAGCACAAGGTGCCACTATCTTCTCCTGCTCCTCCCCTAGGATCAGCAAGTAGTACAAGGAAAATGGGGATGGGAATCCAGAAAGATGAACTCCACCTCAGGCAGCCCATCCACGCAGGAAATGGGAGCTGTCTGCCTTTGTCTGGGAATCAGAATATTTATTGATAAAAGTAATTTTATATTGAATTGGTTCAAAATTATTTTACAGCCAGGTGCCTGTATATCCTATTTTGGTAAAAACAAACAAACAAACCTATTTTACTTAAATATATAAAGAGAGAATTTTTTTGGAGCAAATAAACTTTTCTTGCAAGGTATCTGTAACTCACCAAAGCAATGTAATTCCAGAAAATATTCTATTGTCTTTGGAAGGAAAGGAATATATTATGACATATATGTATATTAGATATTATGACATATATATGACGACTGGACATTTCAGGAAGAAGTTACTGTTTCTAAGAGTAAAGTGAGAATTGAAGTTACTTCATTTAAAAAAATTCAGTTTCCACCTTGATTTTTATTAGTAATTCGAATAACCCCAAGGCCTGCTTATTGCTGCCATTGTCAGTTCTAAGCCTCTTTCAGTGCCAGTTTGCAGATTTCTTGCATGCTTTTGCTTCTGCCAGCTGGCCCTTGATGAACCAGTGGCTCTCCAGATTTTTCTCTTGGTTTAGCTATACACAAACCTGTCTCATAGTTGTGGTGACTAGACAATTTTAAGAGAATCAAGAGTCCTAAGGAGATGTTTGGATAATACAGGTGGAAGGCATATTTAAATTTCCATAAATGGAACTGCATGCAACCAAAATGTCTATACCACCCAACTTAAATGGGACGATCTGCTCTAGTTTACATGATACAAGCCAAGCTTTTAATCAGACAGCAGCAGCAGCGTTTTAGGTCAGGAAGGGATATGAATATGTAGATCATGATATATTCAGACTCAATAATGCCATCTTAGCTAGATGGAATCCTTACTGTAATTCAAGTGAGTAAACATTTACTCTAGATTACAATCCTAAGGAACGCTGAAGTCAACCATGTGTGGAACAAGCATGTCTGCACTTAGCATCTGACATTTTTTTCCCATGGAGACAAATGATTTATGTAATTTTTTTTATAGCTTTGTATTGTTACTAGAAAGTAACATGCTTGTTTTTTAACATGTATTGTTTGGAGGTCATAACTTGCTGCCTTAGTGGTATGAAAGGAATTTTAATAAACTGTGGCCAATGCTTATATGTAACTAAAATGTTGTTGAACTGTGATGCCATTTGTAGGGAATATACCGTTGTATTTCTAATAGGCGCTCTCTTCTGAAGAGATGGAAGCACAAGAGTTTTACATGTACTTATCCTGTTCCAAGTGCTGCTAGTCAATAGTGCATGTGATGATGCTGTTGGGTAACAAACCTCTGTAATGGTTCACAAAGCCTGTTTCCCTTTGTTACATAACCATTTGTCTTGTTGCCAGTTTATCTGTCTGTTATGACTTGAGGTTAAACAAACAAACAAAAAAACTAAAGAGAAAATAGTCCTGGTCTGACTGGTGTAGTGAGAAACCTTTCTGGTGTGGAGGGAATCTGAGGTCATTTTGGTTTTACAATGTTAGGACATTTTCCTGCAAAATGCTATCAAGATAATGTTACACACAAACACCGGTTCATATGGTTGATGTGGAAACCTGATGTCTGTCTTGTGCAATACTTATAAGCTGTTGTCTGTGTTTAATGCATCTGAATTGCTTACACCATAATATCTCAGCCATGGATGTTTTCTCATGTTTCATCCCATCTGATAAATCTCTTCCCAGCTTTAGTCTGTTGATACTGATGATACTTCATGCTGTAGTTTGTGCAAAACTGTGAGAGATTATGTGGGTTTCAATGGCAAATATCCCAACAAGATGGTAATGGTGGGTTTAGGACTGCCTAATGGCCAGTGGCGACTTGCTCCTCAAAAGCATAGTCTGTGTATGTGCCATTCTTTTGCTTGCTGCTGCTGCTGCTGGGAAGACTTATTCCACTAAACAGACTTTCCAACTTAACACTGTGATTCTGCACAGAGCTGATACAGCATCAAGGGAACGAAATACTGTAACAATGTTTGTTGCATTGAATGACAATATGAAAAGTGGTTTTTTTGCTGTTAGTGTGTTGATGACATTTTCACATTGGTAAATGTTCTCTCAGAATGTGACTACATTCATCAGTTGTGAACTATTGTACATGAATTTTGTATCTGAAATCCACTCAAATTATGTGTATTACCAATATAAAATAAACATATTTGCTTAAAACATTTCTGGTTTTCCTTGTGTACATCTGTACCAGCTCTTGGTGAGCTTATGCTCATTGAGGTGGTGGTGTCAGATGAAACACTTTATGGTCATTTAAAGAGTCCATGGCATTTTTGGCAAGAGAAGGGAAGCTAATCTTCATGTCCAGCCCAAAGTCCTCTAAGGACAGAGTGCAAAAACCAATTTCTTCCTGATACAACAGAAAGCTACCTGTTCTGCACGTTGTCTTAAATTGTTGTGACTTTGTGTGTTGGTGCTAGTAAATCAATGTACCTAATGGCAACTGGTTTTCAGGGCTGTCATCTGATACTATGAGTATAGCTGGTATGGATGCCTAGAGTTAAGGTTGCCTTACACTTTTCATAATAAGACCCCATTTTCAAGTTCCTTGTAAGTTTGCAAAACTTTATGCATTCAAGCTCAAATGTTCCATGCTGAGTGTCTGCCTCAGGTGGCAATAAATAAAATTCAGCAAAATACAGTTCAGCTGCTTGACAAGTTAAATAAAAATGTTTTACCAATATTAAAAAAAAAAAAGGGCCAAAGCTCAGTTGTCTGGAGAAACTCCCACACCTTTATTCTTAGGAGCAGGAACTTGAAATTTAGAAACTGCTCCTGGGGTTATAGAGGAAGCCAAGTCTGGCTGAGTTGTGTCTCTAACAAACTTCTAGCATGCATGTGTTTCTAGCAATTTTTAGTTTAGCTGCTCAATTCTCCATTGATTCCATTTGCACTGAGCATGCTCCGGTCCAGGCTTCAAGGCACTCTCCTTGCTATCATTCCTCTTGGCTCCCTGTGGGTCTTAATGCTGCCAAGCACAAGACCTTAACAGGGAACAGCTCTCATGTCTCTCAGTAGCTCCTTGGGTGGCACCCAGGCAGCATGGAGAAAGCAAAAGAAGGCTGACCAGGCAGAGAGGTGGGGGGAGAAGGGACCTATGCTCGGTGACAAGCAGAAGAGGGCAGGCTCCAGGAAGACTAGCAGAAGGGTCTCTAATCATTATATCCTACTCCCTGCCAGAACCTGGACTAGAATCCAGGGTAGCTCTCTGTTAACATTCCTCCCCTGTCTAGCAACTACCCATAAAACTCCCTAGTAAATTATATGCCCTCTTCCTCCAGCAGCTGGCCCCACTGCGGAGAACAGGCCCCTTGCCCGTACTCCGGCTGCAGGTACGCCGTGACTGTGGGGCGGCCCTGGGGGGTCAGGACAGGAGCGCCGGGTGCAACTGGGAAACGCAACGACCTGCTTCCAACAGGGGCAGGCGGCCACATCCAACCCTCGCCCCTAACAAGCGCCAGAACTAACTGTCTCGGCCTGGCAGCTCCCCCTGGCTCCCTCCCAACTTCCCCCTCCCAGCTCCCTATCGCCCCCCCAGCCCCCTCCCACCCCGAGCTCCCTACCGCCCCCTCCGGTTCCCTACCCTCCCACCCCCAGCCCCCCCAGCTCCCTCCCTACCTCCCTCCCCTGCTGGCTCCCTCCCACCCTCCTACCTGCCCCAGCTCCCCCTGGCTCCCTACCCGCCCTCCCCCTCCCACCCCGAGCTCCCTACCGCCCCCCTCCCAGCCCCTGCGGCTCCCTCCAGTGACGGCAGTGCCAGCCGGGCCGCAACGAGGGAGCCCCGCCCTGCTGCCCGGTCCCTGAGGGTCGGCCCCGCCCCTGACTGCCGGCGCGCGGGACGGGGCTGACGCTGCTGACGCACACCCGGCGGCCCGCGGGCTTAACGGCTGCCGAGCCGGGAACGAGGCTGCGGGGAGGGCTCTAGTCCGGGCGGGGAGGAACTGCCCGCGCGCCCTTCGCTGTGCGCATGCGCCTGGTGCCAGACGCCCTCTCCCCTAGTCGGTAGGTCTCGTCACTTCCGCCTGCCGAGTTATGTTTCCGGGTTGGGGGCTTGACAGCTGGTTCCCGGTGTCGGGAGCGTCACCTTCGGCTCCGGAAGCAGCTGCCGCCGGTGGGAGGCGATGGGGGATGGGCAGAGGGGCCGGGGGCCGCGCGGTGAGTGAGACGCTGAGACACCCTGGGGGGGCGGGCGCGGCGCGGGGGCTCCGGCCTGCTCCGAGCGGGCCGGGCCGGGCCGGGCAGCGCGTCGGCTAGGCAGGGGCTGCCGCGCAGGAGGCTCCCGGGCTGGTACCGCTCCGGAGCCGGGCTCGTGGGGCGCCGCCGGCAGGAGCTGGCAGGGGAACGCGCGTGTCCATGGGCTACGTTGCTTCGGAAGTGATAATAATGGGGAGCCCGGCCCGGGGGGGGGGAGGGCACGAGATGTTCTTGGAGCACCCGGAAAACGGCTCCGAGTTTCAGATTTTCAGCTGGAGGGTTTTGCGGCGCGGGGCCTATGAGGGAGCCGCTCGGCTCTGCTTTGCGGTGCTCTCCTTCCCCCCCTCCCACCGCACCGTGTGAGATGCACAGTCGGGCTGCTCCCCTGGCGCGCTGTGGGACTTCAGAAACTAGGAGCCCAAAGCTCGTTTTAGTTCTTGTTGGCATTGTCTACAGGGAGGGCGTTCTGGAGTAACTGTCCCTGTGTGGACTCTTTGTGCTGGAATAAGTGATGTTAACTCTGTTTGGAAGTGGAGTAATTAATACAAAATAAGCAGGAGAGTTCTGAGTAACTAATTGTATCCATGTCAGTGCTTGGAATGCTAATTTCACAGTGGGATCACACTGCTGTTTTCAACACTCGAAGGAGTTGTAACAGCATAGAGGAGGGACATCCAGGTGAGTTGAGAACAAAGACTTGAGGTTGCACATCAACCTGGTAAATCAGTGGATTGTTGAACAAGGATTTGGTGGGTAGTGGAGTATTTATTTAAAAATATTCCGTATTTCTAGGAGCAGCATGTTAACACTTGAATGATGATAGCAGATGCAGCTCTGTCTACGACTTTCCTTAGAACACAAGACAAACAGATGAATTAGCAGAAGAATATGTGAGAAAGTTGATGTTGCAGGAGACAATAAAGAAGAATTGTTGAATATATTGTCAAATTTCTGTAGAATTGCTTAAAAATTAGGTGATGAAATGGGGAAAGATTTATTTCCAAACTGAGACACCAAAATTGAGAGTTTAGAAGAACTCGGTAATAATTCCCTGCAAAAGTCAAAGGGAATAGTAAGAACTCAAAACAGCGAAAGGGGGAAGCAAGAGAGAAATTTACTCTGAGATGTGTTTATCATTGTCATGTCAATATGCTCCTACTAGGCTCCTTGATTAGTGTAGTTAATAACTGCAAATTAATTTTTATTCCTGTTAACTCTACGGAGCCAAAATAGTTCTGAGAAAACATTGAGAAATTACCAGTGTGAATGACCCAGCAAGAACCCAGCTTTATTCTCATGTCACACGTTTTGTTCACAGCATTAGCTATTAGAAAATCTAAGCAAAATGGGGAAATGCAATCTGGAGAATTGACGGAAAATTCCCCTAACCAAACTTCTTGCCTCTTATCCACAGCTTTGCTGAGGAAAATTGTGTACAAAGTAAATGAAATATCTTTCTGGGAAGAAATCTGCATAACTTGTCACTGGTGACAATTCCAAATCCACTTTTGACCATTAACAATAATGAATTTGAGTGTTTCCACTCAATTCAGTAGGTAATTTGTTTTTTTAATTTTTTAATTGTGCAGTCTAACAGATATGAACTTTATAATAAGGATAATAAAAATGTCTTTTAATGCTGTATTGGTTTCAGTCTATTGTCTGGTTTGGTGTTGAAACTTGATCTCTCTTTAATTCACAGGCACTGTTAGGCTATGAGCCCTTTGAAGAAACTGGAACAGGAGTAAAACTGGCTGAGTTAAAATTAAATCTTGACTTTTGGAACCTTTAAATAAAGCATCAAACTTATTAACTGTGTAATTTGGGAACAGTCGTGTCTCAAAATACCTGGCTCTTTTGGTGCCATAGAACTGCAGCTGCAGTAAAATGTTTGCAAAACTGAAGAAGAAGATAGCAGAGGAAGCAGCAATTGCTCCTCGGCCAGGAGGGGCTGCCAGAATTCCCAGATCAGTCAGCAAAGAGTCAATCACGTCTGTGGGAGCAGATTCTGGAGATGATTTTGTAAGTATCATATTTTGCATTTTACTACAACACTTCTAATGCACAAGGTTACAAAAAGCCATGCAAGAATCTTGACTGTGACTGAAAAACCAAGTGCCCGGCAGAGAGAGATGTGTGATGTGCAAATGTATCTCTAATCAGAATAGTTTTTGGAAATTGAAGTAAGCATAGTCAGATGTTAGTGGATGAATAAATATTAAACATTATTTTTTCATGTTAAGAATATAAATTACATAATTATCCTCAGTGCAGAACATGGCAAATGAAGGTATAAAATATCAAACAATGTTACAGCAAAACTCAAGATACTGCAAGTAAATGTAATGCTGAAGATTGCAAGAAAGCAATCCAAGTCTTAGATTGTAGTGTTCTGATTCCATGTTAACCTCTTAGGTTCCTGGTGCAGTTACTGGTCAGGCATATTGTTTACATACCTACATAGGATGCTTATGTTGTTTCTGTAGCACTGGAAAAACTTGCAGATTGTTAATTGGAATGTCTAGATAAACTATTTTTCATTTTAAACTATAGTATCTGTAGATTCTATATTAATAATTTTAGGTGTGCATAGATTAAATAAAACCTGTTAGTGCTTTGGCTGAAAGTCATGCCTTCTGAAGGCTCTTATGTCACCCAAATCCTAGATTAGATTATACAGCAGCATCACTTCCAGACCCTGCAGTTGCTGTATGCTGTGTTGCTGTAGAACAGCAGATTTCCCCTGTGTCTTCATTCCATCATCTGTAAAATAGATTTTTCCAAGGAGGGGTGTTGTAAAATAGTATTTCTGAATCTCAAACATAGATATTGGTGCTGAGCTAGACAGGAAATCTTGATCTCAAATAGTGAATGGGAAAATACTGTGGTTACTACACTCAGTTTTTCACTCCCCCACTCAGCTAATTTTCATATAGCCACAATGTTTCTCAATACTATATCAATTG